GCATTGCTCATTTGACATTTGGTCACTGACAGCAGAGCTGAGAGCAAAAACACTCCACTGAACAGAGCACACATCACTCCTGCAACAAGACTAGCAAAGCACATCTTTAATCTCATCAAATACAGTGTACCTACATGTAAGCCCAAAGAGTTTTGACCATCTTTGGCAAAAAAGTATTTAAAAGTATTTATGCATGAAAAAAGTATGAAAAAAGTATAAAAAGTATATTTTCTTAAAAAAATGTATAAAGTGGCAGCACCGTAATAATAAATAATAATATTATTACTCACTCCTGATAATATAGCGCTGGAGAACCCACGTGGCTTGCTACTTGATCGTGTAGCTCTGTGGGACTTGCTTGATCGGTCGGTGCATTCTTATGCTGATTAAATGAGCTAGTCCTTCCGAGAGTCTTCTAGTCCAAAAGACAAACCAGGCATTGTTAATAAATATTAATAAGTGCTTGGCATTTCTCTATTACCCAATATTAGCATGATTATAGAGAAATTGTGAAACAGTGAAAGGGCAGAGAAATTCCTTTAATTCTATATATGTTCATCCTAGTTGTCGATGTCGTTATCGCCACCTAATGAATAGCACCACCTAATGAAATCCCAGTGCGTGTTCAATGTGTTTACTGAGATATTTGTGACTAAGAAATAAGCTAGGCTTAACAAATTTTAAGGTATATTTTCCTAGTAAATATCACACTTTATTAGCAAAGCACAAAGTATCTACCGCTCATCAGCTGTGTTGGAATCACGCATCACCGAACCAATTTAACTTTTTTAACAGAAAAATGAGAAAATGTTATGATCTATGAAAGTAAACCTAATTACATACTATCTAGACCACGCCGCGACCCGCTACTTTTGAAACGTGCGAGTGATTCATTGTGAGTCTAACTTATGTGCAGTGCACTAAGGGGGCTATATCAAGACATGCCTACACGCATGCAGTTCCACGCAACACACGGCGTGGCCGCTACATAGAAGTGGTATCGCATACTTTCCTACCATGTTACATATACATTTACTTCAGTGTAAGGTGAGAAATAAGTACCATCGTCATATTTATGTTTATGTAAATCATATTTGTGTGCACCGTATATTTCTCTCATAAATAGAATATGAAATAAAGAAAATATCGCAATAGCAATAGGACAAATAGCAAGAGATTACAAAATTAGAAATATTTAGTACAGTTTAGCGTAGGAAATATGAAAGTGTTAAGAAAGTCCAAAGGGGAAGGAGAAGGATAACAAGGAAACGGCCCACTGCCTTCGTGCCTTCCGGTGTAAACCGATCCGGCTATCGTAGAGGCCTCCCGGTACATAACCCAGCTGGCATAGCTCCATATAATTTCTACTCACTACTGGCAAATGGCTGTTTGCGACGCTTATAAGGGGAAGGTGGCTAGCTCCTTCTTGAAAGAGTCCGAGATGGTGGCCTCGATGGATGATGACAGCGACTTTACGTTATCGCCTGACAGCTGTCAGCGATTGCGATTGCAGCAAATCTAAACAGTTTGGTAGAACTTACAAACTGTGTACAAACTTCTCTGTCTCACTTGGTAGAGTGTTTTGCTGTCGCTATGCTGTGCAGCGACCAGGGGCGTACCTACGGAGAATAGCGCCTATATGGCGAGCACTGAAATTGCGCCCCTGTCCAAACATCTGACACCCATATTTTAGATAGCTTTACTGTATAATATACAGGGACGTAGCAAGCTAAAAACGTGTGTGGGGGAGCGGTCTTAGTGCTAAAGCTATGGACTTTCACACTATAGAAACATAACGCACGCTAACGCCGCTAAGCACGAAACATGTAAGGGGGGTCTGGGGGTCCTCCCCAAGAAAATGTGTAAAAATTTAATGGCTCCAGGTGCGATTTCCCAGCACTTTGAAATAGTAATTTTAGACATGAACTAATGGTTTTTGAGTAACTTTTCGCCACATAACTGACTTATGGTCCCGATTTCTCGAGAAATATCAGTTTAAATCCTCAAATCTCAATTTAGCTGTCATTGATTTGTAAAATGATTTAAACTAATTTAGTGACGGTCACATTGACCTGGTTTAAACGGTTAATTTTATGGAAATTGATAAAAACTTTGCACAGTGCTAAATTAATTATTTCTCACTTTATTCTCACAATACTGCGGGAATCATACATAGACGTGTACTGAATAATTATCCTGTAATTAATGAGTCTTATATTTTTGGGAACTAGTTTTCATTGTGATTAGAAGCGTAGACAGTTAGAGATGTTCCAGCACTTTTTTATTTTGTACTAATCTGGCAGTGTGAAAACTCTCACTTCTGACACTCATGTTACTGCGGAGTCTCGTAATCGGACCATTTCGAGGATTGATTGTTACATTGTAACAACGTATCCTACACAGGCCTCGCGTTGTTTGTTCGTTACTGTCTGCGATCTGTTGACCTTTGCTTTAATTATGCAGAATTTGTTATCCGAACTGGACTTGTGTATGTACATGTTTGTGTCCATTCACTAAAATAATAAAATGGCTACTGCACTGTGAATGAATGTGTGCTGCACAAGGCTGCGAATCAATCGATAATGAGGATCGACGAAACTTTTCATTGTTGCTAATTTTGTTAATTTGTCTTAACCACAACTGCCTTGTCTAAACTGCGTTGTAGAAACTGCGTTGTAGAAACTGCGCAGTGGCGCCTTCTTCAAGTGGCGCCCAGGGCACGTGCCATACCTGCCATACCTTAGTTACGCGCCACTGGCAGCGACTGATGCATAAGCTCGACTTGAACCCGAGAAAACAGTTTCGTCTTCTTGATGCAAGTTGGGTTTGCTTTCTAGCTTTATGCTGAAACAACGGGAATGTTGTCGTTAGAGACTAAATGCCGCTTATTATTAGTAGCACATCAGGGAATTATCAGATATACCTGCCCTAGCCATACTATCTTTTAATTTTATTAGAAACGAATAATAAAGTTTCGAAGAATTTAGCCCGTTGAGTGCCGTCAGAAACACCAATATGTGGTGAATTCTCGGAGAGTTAGACAAGTTCGACCTGACTCTATAAATAAACGGATACCCTTTTCCCCTTTAAATGGTTGGCTGTTTGATATTGCGATCCTGCAGTAATTTTGGAAGAAAATTCAGGAGAAAGGAATTTTAGAAGCAATTATGAAAAAGTGGAACGATCGGGATGTACATGAATTATTCGCATTTCTATCGAACATTGTGTTAATTAATAAACAATTAACAACTAGGAAAAAGGTTTTTCACTTTCTCTCAATAGGCTTTTCTTTTGTCTGATCTGATCACCACACGAATAAACACAAATAAAACCCGATTGCCGGACTGCACACAGAAGGAACACGAGTTAGCGCGTCGCACCCTCACTAGCAATCGAATGTGATTGGACGTAAACTCCCGCACGTTGCAGGCACCGTGGCCACTTTGCATGACTCTATGTAAGCAGCCGTACGCCACGAACTCCGTCAATGTGGCGGCGACAGCGCGTGCGAAGATTGTAATTATCTCGTAAATACGGCCATATATCGCATAATAACAATAGCTATTAAAAATGATGATCGCCGATCTACTTGTCGTTGTTTGTTGCCTACACGTCGTAGCAGTTACTTCAAATGTGGAAGGTAGGTATATTTATGCTATTTCATTCTA